CTAAAGGGGACTTCACGAGCGAAACCGTCACAAACGAAGGAGATAAATTCTCTGATAACCCCACCGAACCGGATGAGAGACAATTCGCAGAAGTTGGAGGCAATCAATCCGAATATGAATCTGACAACCCAGTGAACATTTCAACCAGTGTTCTGGATGAAAATGATGACTTAGAGGAAGGTCAACCAGTCGCAGAGGACCAGCCGACCGCACGTGGACCAGGACGCCCACGGAAAATCCTCACCGGAAGGCCTGGCCGCCCGGCCAAGCAGTATCAGACCAAGGGGCCTATGCAACAGCAGGACGCAGATCGGACTATCATTGCCACAAGAGACTGCACACCAGAGAAGAACAACTCCTCGGACTCCGAATGGTTCGATGCACAATTCGCCATGTCCGCTTCTGAAATTCCTTTTTCTCAGGCTGTTTCAGGTTCAAACAGGGACGAGTGGCACGACGCAATGTATAACGAGGTAAAACCTCTAGTGACGAATGACACCTGGACACTCGTTGATTGGCCCGACAACGAAAAGGTGATCGGCTGTCGTACCGTGTTGAGGAACAAATTCAAGGCAAATGGGGAACTGAAGCGCAGAAAGGCCCGCATTGTTGCAAGGGGCTTCGCAAAGCGCCCGGGTATTGATTACCACGACACTTTCGCCCCCGTTGCAAAACTCGGCTCGTTGAGGATGCTCATGGCAGTAGCTGTCGAGCGGAACATGCAAATCTCGCAGATCGACATAACCACGGCCTACTTAAATGGAACTATGGACACTACCGTTTATATGGAAAAGCCGGAGTTACTGCGCCAGATGCTCGAGAGGATGTTAATGATAGAAGAAAACATCGAGCTCACCGAGCGAGCTAAAACGATGCTGCATCAATTGAAGGCAAGTGATAAGGTGTACAAGCTCAAGAAATCTCTCTATGGGCTCCGACAGGCAGGAGTTTTTCACTGCCCGTCACAAGGGTCATTCGGCCTGGCCGAGGTTGCGCGGCAGATTTGTCCTGTGTCCTCCCGACGCGGTGGGCGGGCGTGCCGACGCTTATTGCGATTTTTGAGTAATACTTTTGAGATTTTCGTCATTGCGTCTCACGCAATATTTTTATTTTTTTTGCGAATTTACTTAAGATTTTTAATATCGGCAGCTAGGTAATTTAGTGTGCAACACGTCCTTTCACCACCTCAAGAGGCGACCACGAGGAGGATAGAAGACCATATTGGAGGCCTGAGGCCACCCAGATGAGGAGTAGCACACAGATGATACCATTTTGAATTATCGAATTAACGCCCTGCGCACTTGTTTTCCTGTAGCTGAACTCCTTACAGGCGATTGTGCCGCGGGAGTGGCTGAAGCGGCATGAGGGGATGGCCATCCTCTGCCATAGTACGAGCGAGGGATCCCGCTGTCGGTGCAGCAAGGAAGCCTCTGCTGAAGGGAGACGTCGAACCCAGAAGACGCGAGTCCGTCTGCACGGGAACACACCGAATCCTGACGACACGCCGGCAAGAGTAGTCCAGAGGGGACCGTTGCAGCCGAAACGACGCCAGCCATAAGTCAAATCCCGCGCGCACAAGGATATAAGGCACGCGATGCGATAGCAAGTCGCGAGGACTCGCGGAAGCTCGCGTGATGACCTGTGATCAATCAAGGCCGATAAGGCTTATCACGTGGGCCCACGGTCGCCTGCGCGCCCCCGAAGGGACCTCGGGCCCGACACTTATGCTGTGAACTCACGAAGTATACGACATACGAGAGGACGCAGGACACTAGTAGAGCAAGGGAATGCTGAGGGGATCCCGTGGTGAGGCGAACGTATCTTATTGTAAAGCCGCCGATTTCCGAGTCGGAGGAATTCGCGAAATCAACGTCGAATTCCGCTGAGTTTGGTTCTCTCGCGAGTAAATGCGTCGCGGCTGCACGCGCGCACCGCGTGATCGTGCCATCCCGTCCGATGCCGTCTTAGTTTCGGTCTAATTTCGAGTTAGTTATTTTGCACGCCCGCCGCGGCCACAGCCAGGTCAATTTTGTAACGTATTGTTTTGTATCGTACTGTTGCGTCGCAATTTTGTATCGCGTTCTATCGTCATTGTAGTAGATCTTAGCTTTCAGAGGATGTTCTCGCGTGTTCCCGAATCTCGAAGGTTTTCGTAACTGCGAAATTGATTTCCGTATCCGCGATACCCGCGTCGCGTAGAACTATACCCGAATTTAGAGTTCGTACCATAAAGAAAAGCAGCCGTACTTAATACCGCGTGTCGAGAACGTACCATGGGGGCAAGCGCGCCCACCGAACGCTTGTACATCGCAGTTAGTACATACTTGTTATCCTTTACTATTATCAATTCTGTCTATTTCACCGCTGTCTCGCCTTGCTCGTTCTCCAACGGATCCTCCGTTTCCGGCCACGAACCACCCTCCTCTACCATTCTCGTGGTTGAGCAGTCGGTTATTAGAGTCGTCCGCGTTCGTGGTTCTATAGACTTCTGTAATTTTGAGTGAGAACGTGACGAAAAACTTACGGAAGAGGAGCACGCTCTCTCGTGCCTGGCGCCCAATAATTGACGTTAAGATTTAGAGCACGCAAAATTGTTAGAAAGCTGTAGTGGCGTTGTGTATTTTGAGTATCATCGGTTAAGTATTATCGCGGGCACAAGTGGTGCCGAGTGATATCCACGAACATGCGACGAAGTGGCACCACGCTCGTGAGCGGTACGTTTATACATATTTATACATATTCATGCATAAAAAATTTTTTACCGGAAATTGATTTCCGACTAATACATAAAAAACCAATTCCAGTATTCCATAATATACATGAAAGAGAAAAATAACGTTCATAATATTAGGGAGCGTAGAGAAAATTATAAAAATAATAAACTATTATATTACGAAATACGTACAACACATGTGATAATATTTTTCAGATTTATTATTTCGGTATAATTAGACTTGTTCAAAGTGTGTAATATATACAAAGTGATTCAGAATAATCACCCGTATCCTTGCAAAGACGTGTTCCTGACTGAATTCTGAGACGATTTTTCTTCTACGAAAATTTTATCCGACACTTATTTTTTAAGTTATTAAAGCATAAAATTACCGAATCACAGGTCGCGTATAGAAGGTAGGCAGGGGCGGCGCACTGACCATCTGACGCGACCACAAAGGGCAGCCTAAGGACACAGAGTTATTACGTTTCACATAATAAACGCCTGCACACACGCACATGCACGCACGCACTCAGACTCTCTCTCTCTCTCTCTCCCTCTCTCTGTCACTTACCTTGCAGAGATTCGTTTTCTTCATACGTCGTAACTTGATGGATAAATTTCACACTTCACGTTTCCATGTGACAAATTAATGTCAAGTAATGAAACAGAGTTTGTTTTTCTTTTAAAGATAGTATCTGAAGATATTATCTTTAACTTCACTGAAGACTGTAACAATCACTGATTTACTCGCGCACTTGATCGATATCCGAGTCGATATCACAAGAATGATTTACGAAGAGAACGATTTACGAATTATTCTATCGGTTTATTATTAATTAGTACCGATTAATTATTCAAATCACTAAGAATAAGAAACGCGTTACATACACAAATCGACGCGAAGACTGAGTTCGACGACACAAACGAGCAGAGAGAGGGAGGGAGAGAGAGAGAGAGAGAGAGAGAGAGAGAGTCTGAGTGCGTGTATGTGCGTGCGTGCGTGCATGTGCGTGTGTGCAGGCGTTTATTATGTGAAACGTAATAACTCTGTGTCCTTAGACGGTTGCCCTTTGTGGTCGCGTCAGACGGTCAGTGCGCCGCCCCTGCCTACCTTCTATACGCGACCTGTGATTCAGTAATTTTATGCTTTAATAACTTAAAAAATAAGCGTCGGATAAAATTTTCGTAGAGGAAAAATCGTCTCAGAATTCAGTCAGGAACACGTCTTTGCAAGGACACGAGGTTATTCTGAATCACCCTGTATATTTACACTTATTTTCAGATGCATATTACACGCGAGCCTATACAAAACAACCATTTTTAAAATATAAACAAATATTTAATTTTTTAAATCAAACTTTGTTTAACGCAGAACTAATGACAACAGAATACGGTCGGTGTAAATGTGTTAAGATCAGCACTGTGTCTTCGTATGTGTATAGGTTATTTCACGTTCACTATATAAGCAAATCAACAGTTAAATAATAAGTATACGCTCTCTTCGTCACGAAACGAATTGTTCAATAGTTGTGTAGTATAACATATACATAGGTCGTCTGAAAAGTTTTGAGCCTCAACATGAAGATGGCATTACTCGTCAAAACAATTTTGACAATTTTACTATAATCGTACATACTTTGAAAGATATCTGCGAAAATTGTTGCTACTTCCGGCGCTTAGTTGTTGTTCGATAGTCATTTGTGCCTGTCAATGTCAATGTTTTTGTAAAAATGGAAAAAATCGAATATCAGCAGTCGTCATGATAAAAATTCACGAATTGCGGTTCGAATTAATTGACCATTCACCGTATTCACCAGATCTGGCCACCAGCGACTTTTTTCTATTTCCTAGGCTCAAAGTTTGGCTCGGAGGTCAGAAATTTTCATCGAACGAGGTCATCGCATCCGTAGATGCCTATTTTGCAAAGCAAGACGCTCAGTATTATTTGAATGGATTAAAGGGGTGGGAGCATCGCTGGAAAAAATGTATTGACTTAAAAGGAGACTATGTGGAAAAATAAAATTGAATTTGATCGAAAAATTACTTGTTTCTATGTTAGGCTCAAAACTTTTCAGACGACCCTCGTAAGTATTATATGATATATTTTAATGTTTTTAAAAATCTTTTACATTTTTATAAATTTTCTACGTTTCTCGGTATTAAAAATGTTACTTTTCTCTTTCATATATCTCCTTCAAGAAACATTATGGAATTGATTTTTTTATCAATATTGATCATTTTTACACTCTTCTTTATATTATAAAATTAATTTTACTTCTTGAAGACAGTAATAGCCTTCGAAACCGGTTTTGTTCCACCAAACATCAATTATACATCACTACGAGATGATATAGATGCCTTAAAAAATGGAAGTGTCTGTGTCGTTCAAGAACCAACGCCAATTAAAAACGGTTATATAGGAATAAATTCTTTCGGTTTTGGAGGAGCTAACGCTCATATGTTATTAAAGTGGAATCGCAAACAGAAAGTTAATAATGGAGCACCGAACGATGACTTACCTAGACTTGTAATATTATCTGGACGTACTGAAGAATCAGTGAAGTTGTTTTTAAAAGATGTTAGTAGACATTTAAAAAGCTCATTTGAGAGCTTTAAATATTAAAGGCATTATATCGTAAATTTTATTTCAAGAAATTTATCGTATTTATAGATTGCTAATCGTCCGATAGATGTAGAATATATCCATTTATTACATGACATCTATGCAGACAATATAAACGGTCACTCATACAGAGGATACATAATATTGAATTCTTCCCAACAAGATTCAATAAAGGAAATTCAAAATTGTAATAACATGAAAAGACCCGTCTGCTTTGTATTTTCAGCTTTAGGTTTACAGTGGCCAGGAATGGGTATATATTTAATATTCTATAATTTGTTTATAAGAGGATTTAAATAAAATAATATAATTTTTTAACTAAAATTTTATCAGGTCGTAACTTATTAAAATTTCACGTTTTTGCAACAACGATAAGAAAGTGCGACGATATTTTAAAACCGTATGATATAAACGTCAAGGACATTTTGACAAATACAGAAGTATGCGAAAACGCATTATACGCGTTTCTTGGAATCGTCGCTATTCAGGTATAGTATTATATTTCACAAAGTATACGTTAGTATCAATTATATTATATTTGTCAGTGAAAAATATACCTACGATAAACATCTTTTTTATGTTCTTATTAAATATTTCATTACACTTGATTATTTTATGAGTAAACAATTTTTTAAATACGGTATTCTGTTATAAGTATTTGGAATATACTTGCAGGTCGGCTTAGTAGATCTCCTAATATCCTTAGGAATTAATCCGGATTACATGATTAGTCATTCTGGCGGTGAACTCGGTTGCGCGTACGCAGATGGATGTCTCACCATTGAACAAACTATTTTATCAGCATACTTTATGGGTTTGGCATGTACCGAAGGAAAAATAATTCGTAGCTCAATGGCGGTTGTCAGTATGGGTTACGATTGTCTTAAAAACATATGTCCAACGGACATTCAAATAGTATGCCGCAATAGTGAGAATAATAGCGTTGTGAGTGGACCTATAGAATCCGTACAAGAATTCACGAAAAAATTACAGGTAGATTTAAAAGTAGGACTTATATTTTCTAAATAGTTGGAAAAATTTACTTAATAGTTATTAAAATATCGAATCGTTAAGTTCAAGATATAATTTCCTTCAAATGTACGTATTGCATTTTTAAAAAATATATAATACATTCAAGGCTTAGAAGAATAAATCAAATTTAATAAACTATAAGCCTATATGAGCCAACCACAAGATTTTTAATGTGATCAATAATTAGTTACATAAATGAACAGTAAACGTTTCGACCTACGGTTAAGGTCCTCTTCAATACACTGTTTTTAACAATTAATTACTTATAATAACTGAATAAATTAATACGCGCTTAAACTTAATAAACCTCCTATAAAAAAAATATTGTGGTATTGTCCGAGTGCATCATGGTCATCAAATTGGAAAATTTACTGTATAGTACAATATCACTTTATTTAAACTAAATATATATATTAATAATGTCAATTGTAAATAAATTCTCTATAACGGACGAAACTTACATGATTGTCATAATTGCACTCATAAATTTGTATTATTAAATGTTCCATTGGACTGATAGTTCACTTATAGAAATGAACTTATATAGAAATGAACAGACTGAATCAAAACAATAAAAATAAATTACTTCAATGTTAATTAAAACTCATAATTCACTTACATGAAACTACACGGAATCAATTAAAACACATTATCTCAGTTCGGTAGATAACATTTAACTAAGAAGTTCCAAGAAACAGTAGGCAAATGAAAACATATACATTCAATGTCAATGTGGAAAAGGTATTAAACACAAGGAATGAAAGCATTACGTCTCAGAAAATAAATCTATGTAAAGCGTTGAGTGACATTGTATCATTTTGTAAATTAAGACCTGTTTTTTGTTTTTTAATATGTGAATATGTGAATTTATTAAAATCATGGACGAATCTAAGTAAAGAAGTGATTTTGGTTAATTTGAGAATTAATTTTCTCCGTGAATGTAAGTCATATGGTATCTGTCCGAATCATCTATACAATAATTCTTTTGTGAGATTGAAATTTCATATTCATAAACACAAGGAAACAGCGAATAATAAAAATAAAAGACATATGGATGCACTGTTAAAACTTGAAATTGCTGATGCCTTTGATTATCGTAGACATCTTTTGTATAAATTGCGTCGATTGCATCGTTATATCATAAATATTCTTCCGATTAATATATTAAACAATTTTTTAAGTTCATAATCAATACTTATAAATAAATTTAATATAAAAGAAAACTATAGACTGAAAAAAAAGTTTAGATTATTATTGATGAAACAAAAATACAATGAAATAAGGAATATTGATGATATAGATACTATTCAGTATATTCATAAAAACGAATAGATTTGGTGAATAATGACTCTAATGGAAATGATTCAACTAAATTTATGTTTTCTAAACCTATAAATTACATGGGAGAATTAGTAAAAATTGATCTTAAGGCTGGGGATTACCAATATATCACATATAATATTACTGACAAAAATGATTTTTGGTTTAAAAATTTAAGCAATACATTAATACCGAAAGAAGTACAGTCATTATTACAACTAGGGGAAAACTTTTGTTTGCCGTTTTACAACACAATGAACACCACCATAGAATTTGTGAAACACATAGAATATAATTTCATGAGATTGAAAATTCCTAAAATGGCGGAAATTAGGAATAAAATATTTCCTGTAATCAAAGATATAAGGAATGTTACTGGACGTTTAACTAAAATAGAAAACATTATACTTGATCTTCTTTCTAGAACAAAAAATTTCATGAAAAATAATTCAAATATAATTTTTACAAGGGCAGATAAAAGCAATGTGGTTGTGGCCTTGGATAAATAGGATTATTTGCGTAAAATGGAGCTATTATTTGCCGATCAGAATACCTACGAAAATTTAAAGCGGAATCCAGTTAACAAAATGATATCAAGTTTAAAATTATTGTTAAAGGATTGGAAACATTACGGATATATCTCAGATTACACTTATAACAATTTAAATCGTACTGTATCAAATTTACCACTAGCTTATGGTTTGCCAAAGATCCATAAAACAGGATATCCATTGAGAGTTATAATTTCTTCGATTGGTAGCCCACTCCATAATTTGGCTTCATTTTTACATAACATTATTAACAAGAGCTTACTTCCAACAAATAGTTCCATTCGTAACAGCTATGTTCTTATTAAAAAAATTACTAATTTGACAATTCCTGAAGATGCTTCACTTTTATCTCTAGACTTAGTATTGGATGAAATTTCAAAGAGGCGGCACTTCATAGAAAAAAACACGGAAATCTCTAAACCGGAATTTTTTAAAGTTTTACAGTTAGTTTTAAATTCCATTTACTTCATGTTTAATGATAAATATTATAGACAAACCTTTGGCTTACCTATAGGCTCTCCTTTATCCCCCATACTTACAGACATTGTTGTGCAAGATTTAGAGGAGTTCTGTTTAAATAAACTAGTCTTGACGTCATTATTCTATGTAAGATATGTGGACGACATTGCATTAACTATGGATAATTCTATGATTGATGAGATATTGGTCATTTTTAACTCATATCATCCCAGATTGCAATTTACAATAGAAATTAGAGGAAATTCGTTGAACTTTTTGGATATCTGCTTAAACATAAATAATGATAGAAGTATTGTGTTTGATTGGTATAAAAAAACCTACATTTTTTCAGGTCTTTTTCTTAATTATTTCTCGTGGCATCCAAACTGTCAAAAAATTGGCACGATTATTAGTTTAATTGATAGAGTATTATTACTTTCTCATCCTAGGTTTCATAAAAAGAACTTTGATGAAATTATAAAAATTCTTCTCAATAATGGCTATCCATTGAGTTTGATTTTTTCAACTATTAAAAAAAGACTTTACAATAAATTTGATCTTTTTAATCGTACGAATGAGTTTTTAGTTGAGAAACAAATGATATCAGGAGATGCTATTAATAGTGATAAAAATAATAAAAAATTTTTTACTGTGCCTTTTATTCCTAGTATTTCTTATAAAATCAAGAGTTTTTTGGAAAGTGTACCATTGGTACGAATGGCTTATGGAGATATAAATAAACTCAATACGTTTATCAAAGCCCAAAAAGATAAATTATCGTGGTTCTCACAAGCCAATTTAGTATACAAAATTGAGTGTAAGGACTGCGATGCGTCCTATGTTGGACAAACGAGCAGATGTCTAAAGACACGTATCAATGAACACAAAAATCATATTAATAGAAATACGGCACAACTCTCAGTTATTACACAGCATCGGTTAGACGAGTCTCATGAATTTGATTGGGATAACGTACAGATTTTAGACAAAGAACAAATTTCAATATAAAAGATTGTTATCTGAGATGATACATATTAAAAAACAAAAACAGGTCTTAATTTACAAAATGATACAATGTCACTCAACGCTTTACATAGATTTATTTTCTGAGACGTAATGCTTTCATTCCTTGTGTTTAATACCTTTTCCACATTGACATTGAATGTATATGTTTTCATTTGCCTACTGTTTCTTGGAACTTCTTAGTTAAATGTTATCTACCGAACTGAGATAATGTGTTTTAATTGATTCCGTGTAGTTTCATGTAAGTGAATTATGAGTTTTAATTAACATTGAAGTAATTTATTTTTATTGTTTTGATTCAGTCTGTTCATTTCTATATAAGTTCATTTCTATAAGTGAACTATCAGTCCAATGGAACATTTAATAATACAAATTTATGAGTGCAATTATGACAATCATGTAAGTTTCGTCCGTTATAGAGAATTTATTTACAATTGACATTATTAATATATATATTTAGTTTAAATAAAGTGATATTGTACTATACAGTAAATTTTCCAATTTGATGACCATGATGCACTCGGACAATACCACAATATTTTTTTTATAGGAGGTTTATTAAGTTTAAGCGCGTATTAATTTATTCAGTTATTATAAGTAATTAATTGTTAAAAACAGTGTATTGAAGAGGACCTTAACCGTAGGTCGAAACGTTTACTGTTCATTTATGTAACTAATTATTGATCACATTAAAAATCTTGTGGTTGGCTCATATAGGCTTATAGTTTATTAAATTTGATTTATT